CTGCCCTTGCCTTCCACTGTCATCCTCAGCACACAGGAAGCAGCTTTGGCCTTCCTAGAGGAGGAGCCAACTCATGGCCATTTTTCTCCTTCTTTTTGTCATTTTTGCCTTCATCTCACCAACGTTAAAAGGACAACAGGTCACGCAGTCCCAGCACAGCACAAGCATCGATTCACAGCAGTGCCATCCCCAGCTGTCCTGTGTGACAGCCATTAAGGGCATGAATAGGTGAACCTTTATGAGGGTTTCAAGATCAAAACAATGCAAATTCCTCCAAAACCTGGAGCTGAAGGAGACATTCAGGCTCTACTCCACACCCAGAAGTTGTGACCCAATCCCGACTCTGGGCTTCACACTGATGGAGTCTGACCAGCAAAGAAAGGGAGAGTTCCGAACTGCCTTCTCTTTGTAATTAAGCTAATGAAACAATCAAATCTTAGGAAAAGTAATGTGATCCAGTGCTGCCCTAAAGCTGATTGTTCCTGATAACAAACTAAACTTGGCAACATAGACATCTGTTGTGCATCACTTTAGATGACACTGTGAATCAACAGAGTGCAGTCAGCAAAGTTGGTTTTGTCCTCCCTAAAAATTTCACACGATGGGAAAGATTTGAAGAGTAGTGAATGTTTCCTGCACTCATGTGCTGCACTTCCCAGGAAGGTGACAGACGGGTTCTGGAAGTCAGTGCAATGATTGGTTCGAAATAGTCTAAAACACTGCTGATGGAGATTAATTAGATTAATTAGTGTCATTTTTCTCTGGGGTTTTGTGCCATATAAGGATGGTGGAGAGCAGCACCCCAACTCGCTCAGTTGGAACTGCTCACAGTGCGCCCTGCCCAGCCCTGCAGCCCTTCAGCATCACGAGAAGCAAACGGGGTATTTTTAATCCTGAGAAGTCATCCGTTCGATGAAAGCTAATCGCATTTGCATTCCCCCCCCCAGCACTGTTTCAATTCCACGCCGGCTGCTGGAGGGCAGTGGAGCAGCCCAGCACCTGGCCGTCCAGCCGGGCAGCGCTCCATCCCACTCCCCGCACCAGGTACCCACGGCTGCGATGCACGGCGACGTGTGCACACATGCACACCCACAAGCTGCTTATTCTCGTGTCAATTGACTCCCTGTAAGTGCTGCCTAGCTACCGGCACGGCGGAGCCATCTCTTCTCCTCCCGCAGCCTCTGCCTGCTGCCACCAGCAGCCCTAATCCCCCCAGAGCTGTGGAGCAGAGCGGCAGCGCCGGGGTCCGACTGGCTTTGTTCCTGCTGACTTGGGTAAGCGAAATCTTATTTCTTCATAACCATTCCCTGGCGGATCCGTGCAGCAGAGCAGGCGGTGTGCTGGCTGACCTGGCTGTGTTTTTTGAATGAATGGTGGCTCGGAATGGGAGGGAGGATCCCGGAGGACCTACGAGCGCGGGGCTGTTGGTCTGATGCCCCGCGTGTGATCCTGAGCAATTCATAGAAAGCTGCCGCCTGGCATTTTCACTTCAGAACTACCGTAGGAATCCAAAATGCTCGTATTGATAAATGTCATCTTGAGAGTGGCTCGTCGAGGAGCGCCGAGTTACAGCACTGCTTTTGAATCAGTGGGGCGGTTTGATGTGGATTTGCCTTTAATGGCGAGCTGTGTTTTCAGTTTCTCAGTCTTTTGTCCCCGAACACAGAGGCCTGGCAGCTAATTTCACATGCAGACTGCTTGCTTTGGTGTATTTTGAAAACAAATCCTTTGACATTGTGCTCTCCTCCTTTATACGTATATATTTATATTTTGCTTTAAACTTCTTTCTAATTCCAAAAGCAGAATCATGAGAGAACCATATATCTTCCCCCCACCACATGTAACTTTGTCACAAGACTATTAATCATGCCTACAACCGTTCTGCTAGTGCAGTATATCCATTCAGGATCCCAATGCTTGTCTGCAGAAGGATTTGTTACCGTGAGATATGGAGCCGAACAGATTTCTACAGGAAATATTTAAGCAAGGTCATAATAACACTCATTACATTCCAAGCAGCGACGTGTCATTGCCGGATCAGACAGAGCACGGCAGCAGTTGTGTTTATTGACCAGGTCTGTGGAAGAGCCCAAAGGTTGGCAGTAATGTTGGAACCACTGCTTTCAGTGTGCGCTCATCAGACCGGAGTCCTGCAGGCAGCTTAGTTGTTTATGCTGGGGGAAAGGAAACAAATGAAAGCAGTGTTATGCCCTTCTTTTTCATCTCAGAAGGCCCTTTTGTCCGTTTCGTTGTCCATTTTATTGTACGGTCTTAACACATTGCTGTTAATGCACTGTTAAAGGTAGGTGGGCAAAGCCAGACCGGTCAGGAGCTGAAAGCAGCGTGCGTTCTGGTGCATGCAGGGTGTGCTCCGTCCCATTCCCTCTGCACATCCTGCTGCTCATGGACATCCTCCTGCAGGGCTGTGCTCGAGGAGGGGCATGGATGGGTCTGATGCACAGCAGGAGGGCAGGAAGCTTGCCCCAAGCTCAAAGGCTGCCGGCCCAACTTTTGCTATGATGTTTTGCATTCCTGTGGAAAGCAAAGCTCCAGCTGAGCCAATGGATCCATGGAACCCTGTTTACTCACATGCTGAGAAAGGTCAGGGTGTTGGACCAGAGTCGGAATAAACAAAAAAATAACCCACAGATGTATCCAGTGCCTTGAACCAGTGCAGAGTGCAACAGGTGCCTTAAACAGACTGAGAGAGATGGGAAAAGATAAAATCACAGAGCCCACACAGGGAAAATCCCAGGTCCCAAAGTGCAGAAACACCAGGCAGCTCAAAGCCCTGTGCAAACGGGTCCTGTGGGCAGCAGAGGTAACCGTATTGAAAAGAAGGTAATCTGGTGCTGGGAAAGGGGGAAGGTGGGCGAGTATTTATTGCCTGAGTACGTATGCAGCTTTACATCTTGGGCAACTCAAACATTGGATTATTTTGCTCTCAAAATAGCACCACTTGCTTACTCCCCTTTCTCTCAGAAGGCAGCGAGGCAGGAAATGACTTGCTCGCAGTGATAGAGAAAAACTGAGAAAGCAGGAAATCAAATACACGTGTATGGAGTCAGAGCGATTCATCCAGCCCTCCCTCCAGACAGCAGCACAACCAAATGCTGCGTGCATGGAGCGACAGAAGGAGAAACTATAAGACCAACAGATGATTCACGGGAGACTGAAGAAAACAGGCTGCTGTCTTCCTTCTAGAAGGAAAATCCATTCTAAATCAGAAACACCTTCCGTCTGCAGCCGGACATCTCTGCTCAGGGTTGCTTTCGTGTGAAATTCCAGTTCTGCAGAGATTGAGAAGGTGGGATGGATGGTGACTGTAAAGTGGAAACTCCACTTCTGTGACCCAGAGGAGGTTTCTACTGATGGGTCACCATTATTACGGAGAACTTTTGGACTTGGCTGGTTCCAGACATAACGTTATGGCTGGTTTTTGTTTTCTATTTGTAAATGTTTGTAATTCTGAGAGTTTCACACGCGTCAGAATACAGAAAGTAAATAAAGGTCAAATGCACAGCGGCCTTTGGTGATTTCACACAGCAGAGCCTCCACCTGTTTGCAATTGAGTCAGTTCAGTTTTCCATAACATTAAATTAACCTCTAAAAAATGGTGTCAAGGATCTCGAAATCCCAAAGGTGCACTAATTAAGGAGGTCAATGAGGTTCAGGAGGAATTCAAGCACCTACGGTGACTGGCACAGAACATCTTTCAGCTTTCTCTGCTGCAGGACTTTCCCCTTCCCGAGCACTTGTGCACAAGAGGAGCTTTGGCCCCGAGGGCACTTGCAGCCCAGGGCATCTTTTCCTGCTGGTGGGAGGGCGATGCTCATGGCTGCTTTCAGCCCATTTCTTTCATATCTCCATCATGCCAAAAACCAAGTGTTTTTGATCGCTTTTCCCCTCTCATGGCTTCATTTTCACCTTCCAGCATACTCCCAGCTCTGTAATGTTAGACCTGATCTTATTAAGAGTGCTCAGACACTTGTATAACATTTCACACACCCCCTCTCTCCAGGCCCCCTGTAAGCTCTCCTAATTCTCCCACCACTCCGAGGAGCTCACACAGCATTTCCTCTGTGTGACAGCAGTGCTTAGAGAAGGGAGCTGGGATACTGCCAAGGGCAGACAGCCTGCAGTCCCCACATGCTTCCAAACAGAGCACACCTCCTGTGACATCCCACAGCCAAACCCCGATGACGGGTGCCCAGCCACCACGCAGCATGGCGGGGTTTGACTGCACACAGCTGTGTTTTCCTCCGTCTCTGCCCGTTGTGTCACCATAACCCTGGGATTAGTCAGGCCAGTGAAAACCCAGCTGTGTTTCCTTTTACCTTCATCCTCCTCCTCAGGGCTGGGGATGCTCTCTCCCCACACCTGGCTCGACTCTCACTGGTGGCATCAGTCATGGAGCACAGTGGGGAGCAGGTAGCGGGAAGGTCATGACTCAGTTAACAACAATTAGACGACAGCAGTGTAAACTGCCCACAGCAAATCGACAAAATGCTTTCTATCAATTCCCTTTCCTGCAGTCTCAAGCTCTTTCAACCATTTCTCAAGTAATAAATTAGATCAGCTTTGATCCTTCCGAGTTGTTCGTTGCGCCTAACTTTTTAACCCATTAAGCCACGGGTGCCTTCGCTAAAATTAGCAGCCATACTCATTAGCAGAGTTTTTAGCACAATAGGAACATTTGTGATGGGCAGCATGCACCAGAGGAGGGCAGTGACTGGGCAGCACTGCAGTGTGCATTGCCCAGCTGACCCGGTGTTACGCTGCATCAGCAGCTGGAGCTGGATGTAGCAGCACCAACAGCTGTTAAGTAGCAAAAGCAGCACCAAATTCCCCATACTTCAGTGGTGTTGAAAAGCCTGAATCCAGGTGAGCGCTGTGCATGGCACCCTGAGCCAGCCCTGCTTGCCATGCCAGCCCCCACCGCAGCCCTCAGCTCTCTGCTCCTCTTCCTCACAGCATTCCCTGCTTCCACTCTGGAGGAGATGGGCCGCAAGGAAGAGGATGACAGCAGCTCCTGGAAGAAACAGACGAGCAATATCAGAAAGACGTTCATTTTCATGGAGGCGCTGGGATCGTAAGTACCCCCAAGGTGCAGCAGCCCGAGCCCTGCTCTGCCCTCCAGTCACAGCCTGGATGGGGCTTTGCTCTTTTCCTTGTGAATGCACTGATCTGCTGCTGCAAGGTCAAGCAAGGTCAAGGGATGGCTCTGAGAGGTTTAATAACGCCGTGTCTTTATCTCATAAACCCTGAGTCACTTGAAGGATGAAACGAGAGCGTGGCTGCTCGAGTTGTACAATATTTTCCTGGGAGTTAACAGCTTAATTTGCCTATTGGTCTGAATGAGACGAGAAAGCGTTTCTAAGGTGGTGGAGGAGGAATTGAATTACCTCCAGCAGGAAATTTTGCCATGTCCAGATTTTCCATGACTGTAGAACCCACAGCAAGGCTTCCAAACACAGCTATGCCAGAGCTCGGCTGGGATTTAGGTTCTCATGTTCCTGGTCAGCCTCAAAAATCAGTGACGTTACCCAACAGCTTCCCCTCAAAGAAGAAGGCAAGAAGAAATGCTTGGTTTCTCCTCGCCAACTTGTTGAATCATAATTTTTTAATAAGGGGCATAATTATTATAAACTGTTCGGGACAGATATATAGAACAGATGCCCCAGCATCTGATTTGTAGGTTGTTCATTTCCTACTACTACATTAATAGGATAATTTAGTATTAGAGTTTAGGATTTTTTTCCACACGCGTTGCTTCAGCTGGCCAAGGAAAGCAAATGGAGATCTGGGATTTAAAATCACTGGGAAATTTCCCATCATCTCTATGGGGAATCCTTAGCTATCGGATTAGGGACCTCTGTGCTGCCCATTCCTTGAGAGCCCTCAGGAGTGTGGAAAGCATTTCTGTGAAACAGCCTTCAGGGCTCAAAGGGATGAAAGAGGAAAATATGAAACGAGGAGAAGGTCCTGGCACCAACTGCACCATCAAACCCATCTGTGCCTTGTGTTCTTTGTTCAGGAGATTACAGGAGCTACAGGTTTTCTGCCCTTGTTTGATAGGTTTGCTACAATAGCATCCCACTAGCACGCTTCCACCATGCTCACCTTCCTCTCTCTACCCACCACTGCCCTGCAGGGTTGTAGGCTCAGCAGCTCGTCCCATTTAACCGCCACAAATTAATCTGTTGCTCATTTGATGAGGATTACTGGGGACTGACCTGGCAAAGCATGCACTGTCACTGTCCCAAGACACGTGTTCTGCTGCCTGAGAAAAGCCTCTAACAGGATTGCAAGCTTAGCACATGTTGCAGATACCCACTCCTGGCCACGCCAAGCTGAACCCTCATCAGGATCATCCCAAGCACTGCAGGCAGCCTTGAAGGGCATCACTTAATTTGAGTGCAGGGAAATTCTTTGTCCACTCCCTCAGTATAGCTCCATGATAAACTATGCAAACATAACCTTTCCTCTACAGAGAAAATTGTCGTGGGTTTTTTTTTCTTGGTACAAAATCTTGCATTGTGTTTCCTAACGCTGGGGCTGCTGGAAATGTACCTTCAGCTTTCCAACCAACATCCACTTGGTGTTAAACCACTCCCAGGTTGTTTTTTCCTGTTCCTATCTGTCAGTCTCCCCCTGTTCACACTTCTCTTTGCAGAGGTGCGTTTTCAGAAGTTTTCTTGGTGAAACAAAGAAGCACTGGGAAGCTCTTTGCTCTGAAGTGCATCAAGAAGTCCCCGCTCACAAGGGACAGCAGCTTGGAGAATGAGATAGCAGTGCTGAAAAAGTGAGTTCACACATGCATACATACATTGTCATGTAAAGAACTAACACCCTTTCCCAAGATGTGGTTCCAAAGTGAAACTGATGCAAAGAAATAAGTATTTCTTTTCAAATAATACGTAAATTAGTACGCTAACGGAGTTACTTCTCCCCACAGCCCCAGCACAGCCCCAGGTATGGGAATGCAGCAGGTTGTGCAGGCACAGAACAGCCTGGTGAACTGTCACTTGTGTTGAAAGCAATGTGACGGCTGGGTTTTCAGCTGGAAAAGCCACTTGGTCCTTGTCAGGTTCATTTCTGACCCAGGTTTGTCTTTGCAGAATAAAGCACGAAAACATCGTGACTTTGGAAGACATCTATGAGAGCACAACCCACTTCTACCTGGTGATGCAGCTGTAAGTATAGCAGAGCCACAGCACACTGCAGCTCAGCACAGCCATTCTAGAAGTCAAAGATTTGCAGGAATGCTTCCTGATGCTCCAAATGGACTCAGGAGAGCCTGCTGGCTGCTGAGCTGCTGCCTGAGAGCAGCTGTGCTGCAGGAGGAGCTGTAAAGGGCCTGAAAGGTCATGGCTTGCGTGGAGGAGAGCGCACGATCGCCTGTCTATTTTTCATCTTCTTCTACAACAGGGTGTCGGGTGGAGAGCTGTTCGACAGGATCTTGGAACGAGGGGTCTACACTGAGAAAGATGCGAGCGTGGTGATCCACCAGGTCCTGACAGCCGTGAAATACCTGCATGAAAACGGGATTGTCCACCGTGACCTGAAGGTGCAGTCTGGCCCTTGGCCGCACGCTTCCCGAGCTTCGTCCCGTAGCTTTCTTCATTTTTCCACCATGAATTTCAACCTCTGGCTCTCTGTATTCACAGCCTGAAAACCTTCTTTACCTCACTCCTGAAGAGAACTCCAAAATCATGATTACAGACTTTGGTTTGTCCAAGATGGAGCAGAACGGCATCATGTCCACTGCCTGCGGGACGCCAGGATATGTTGGTGAGCTGAGAGCTGGGAACAGGATGCTGTGGTGGGCTGCCAGGAAAAGGGCTGTGCCCCTACAACATGAAAGGGAAAAATATACAGCCACCTTAACAACAACACACCAGTCACAGAGGCAGCACTGCAGGACCCCACGAAAAGTGGATTACTGATGGTTTTGGAGACCACAAAATTACAGTGTTTAAAGGGTAATTCTAAGAGCAGTGAGTTTTGCTGTTATCCACGTATTTATTGAAAATTTACAACAAAAAAATTTTTAACACTGTGGGATTTTGTTTCATGTCAACCTAAGTGCATTGCCTCCATCCAGCTTGTCAGAGCCTCTGGGTGCAGGAAGAAGTCCTCAGTGGGTCATTCTCTTCAACAGCATGAAGTGGATACAGAAGGCAGACAGCAATCCAACTGCTGCGTAGGGCCATTACTGGCTCCTGTGCTGACCTCTCAGAAGCCAACTGCACGAGGATCTTCTCCTTTTCCCAGAGTTTACCATTGCTTGCAATTTGCATTTCTTTTTGCTTTTCTGCAGCTCCTGAAGTCCTCGCCCAGAAACCGTACAGCAAAGCTGTGGACTGCTGGTCCATCGGAGTCATCACCTACATCCTGTGAGTAGCAGCAGGGCAGCAGCCCTCCCCATCTCCACGTTTCCCAGCTCGTGCACTGCCTCATGCACCTCTGCAGCATGGAAGCATGAGCGGAGGCGGTGCCAGCCCTCTCCTTCCTCGTGACAGCACTGCAGTGTTCTCCTCCTTCACACAGATCCTCCAGACCATAGAAATGAAAAGGGTGGTGGGAATCAAGAACTGGAGAGGAGATGAAAGGAATCGCATTTTCTCTATTATGTGCCTCATCCTGTGCTTTGTTTTTCTCATTCAGTCTTCCTCTGTATGTTTTGTTTCATTTCCTCCCACACCATGCAGTTCTGTTCCAGCTGTTGCTTTGTTCTTTCGCTGCACAGTTTTTAACTCTTTTCTGCAGCTTTCCCCATGCACTTAGGGACAGATGGATCCATACAGCAGCCTCCTGTTACTCACTCCCTCGTGTTGCACACACATGCCCAGCCTTAGCAAGCCACACCAAGCTCATGTGGATACACAGCTGAAGGACTTGTGCCCCTCTGCTCTGTTCCAGGCTGTGTGGGTACCCACCTTTCTACGAAGAGACCGAGTCCAAGCTGTTTGAAAAGATCAAGGAAGGCTACTACGAGTTTGAGTCTCCTTTTTGGGATGACATCTCCGAGTCAGGTAGAGCCCAGCAGCATTTCACCTTCCTTGGCCGTGGGGATGGGGACAGCCCACAGCAGCTGCCAGCACTGCAGGGCAGGGCAGCGATGCCAAAGCTGAGCTGTGTGGGCAGAGAGAAAAAAAGAAGAGGAAAGAAAAAAAGAAAAGAAAATAGGAGGCTGTTCTTTAGAGCAACGTCTAAAACCTCTCAGTCCCAACTTTTGTATTTTTTTTCTACTGGCAGTGAGAAATTCAGTTCACATTCACTCCATCTAAGCTGAAATTAGGTACATGTGCAGGTGACATTTTTCCATCAGAAGCGTTTCACCACACATATCTCCCTCCACCACTGTAATGAAGTGGTGCAAACACCTCCTTCCCACGCTGACCTTTGTGATGTTTATCTACGAGTGTTTGCCCTCTGCTATTAGGATCTCATCCTGGAACGGGGAGAAAATAACCTTTCCTCTCTGCTTCTCGTCCCTTTCCAAACAGCCAAGGATTTCATCAGGCACTTGCTGGAGAAGAACCCGGACACAAGGTTTTCCTGTGAAGAAGCCCTGAGGCACCCATGGTGAGAGTTGTCCCCCAACCTGGCAGTGCCATCAGCCACCTCCGCAAAACAAAGAGAACTATGAATAATTAAAGGTGCAATTGGTGTAATATTTGTCTCCATAAACAGAGGCAAAGAAGAAATCCCATTCTGGGCTTTTCTGAGCTTTGAAGTGTGTGTTTGTGTTACATTTTGTTGCTGTTTTTCCTTTGGGTTTAATTAATGCTGATTGAATGTACAAAGCAGTTACTTGCCTCCAGAATGTGGAATGACTTACAAATGCCATCTGCCTATGAGCCCATTTTCTTCTCTCCCCATCTGCAGGATTAATGGAAATACAGCCCTTCACCGTGACATATACCCATCTGTCAGTGCTCAGATTCAGAAAAACTTTGCAAAGAGCAAATGGAGGGTAAGTTGTTCGTCACTGGGAGCCCAGAGCCATTCCAATAGCAAACGCCAGTTGCTGCCATCTAGCAACAAGCGAGGTTCTGGGATGGGTAAGCACCCAAAATCCTCCAAAAGTTGTCTGAAAATCATATGCAGCTCCTCTTTATGGTATGCTTGGACCAGCATTACCTACTGCAATGCACACTGCTCTGTTTACCATGGACACTATAGTGCCATCACAGTGCCCTTCCCAATAAAACAAGGGCTGGGGAAAAGGATTGCTGTGTTTGTGCTAGGGGAACAAAACCAGCACACTGTCAGCAGATCTTTTTGTGAGCTTAATCCAGCTGCTCCTCCCTTCAGACCTGGTACTTCAATCTATATCAAAAGAGCTTTTGTAAGAATCCAGATAGAGAGAGGAATATCGTAGGAACCACTTGAATTAGAGTGTTTTAAATACACTCAAAATTCAGCTTGAGTCTCCGTTCCGCACTGTGGGGTAATTTACAGCTGTTCCCCCTGATTTCCTTATCTAGAAAGAGTTATAATCTTCAAAAGCATCAGCAGTTTGTAGTCTGTGGTATTCACCATGTTTATGCCAGGAACGAGCGTTTTCTGCACGTTGTGCAAACATTCCAGCAGCACCAAGCAGCTCAGCATTACCACCCTGCTGCTGCTTCGTATGGACAACGTTCATCCAGCGCACTGGGTGCTCGTGCTCACTGTGGGGTTTTTCTCTTCCTCCCCAGCAAGCCTTCAATGCCGCAGCCGTGGTGCACCACATGAGGAAGCTGCACATGAATGGCCACGCCACGGCTGGCAGCACCCACCCAATTATACAAGGCTCTGAAGCACCCAGACCCAGCACACCCAACACCACGCAGCCAGCAATGCCCAGCAAGGACGAGGACATGTCACTGCCCCAGGTCCCCTGTCCGGCCCCTCCTGCTCCGCTGGAGCAAGGCACAGGAATGAGAGAGAGCAAGCTGCAAAGCCCCCCAGTGAATGGATCACCGGACAACCAGAGCCCGCCAGCCAGATCGTGTGGCTGCAGCCCAGTGTGCACAGGGCATGAGAGAGCCAAGGCATCTTTCTGCTCCGAGATGGTGCTCCTTAAAAAACCTGCAAAATCCCAGTAGGTATCCACGTCATCAGCCGAGACTTGCAACAAAGTGTATGGGAATAACCCTGCCTGGAAGTTGCTGCCTGGCACATAAGTTGCCAGCTCCAGGTGGAGTAGAGAGGAGGGAGGAAAAGGAAAGAAGCAAACATTGCACCAGTACCTAGCCAAGCATTTTTTTGTGCTTGTATGAGCAGCAGGTGAGGCACAGTGCCCAGGCTGCACAGCAAGGCTTGCAGTGAGCTGAGGTGGTGGGGGTTTGGTTGCCATTGCCATCAGTGCATTTGCTTTCCAGAAGCTGAGATGATCTATGGTTAGAGCTGTTGATGCCAATTGCTCAGCAGCTGCTGGCTGAGTGAACCCTGCCTTTGCTGCAGTGTTGACTTGCACTCCAGGTCTACTTTGCTTTCAGCAGATGACACTCTTTATATAAAAAACACAACTTTAATTCACCTGCAGAACGACCATAAACACAGCTGCTTATCTTTTCTTTTCTTTTTTTCTTCCCATCTTTCTCTTCCAATTCTTCCATTTCCATCCAGCCATTTCAAATCAGAAGTTCTCGTTCCAATGAAGACTGGTAAGCACTCATCTCACTGTGGCACTGGGCAAACTGGAGTTTGTTTGATCATGTGATGAGGAAGGCAGCCAGCAGGATCCCCCATCGCCATGGTAAGTGCACACCATCCCACCACCAGCTGCTTGCAATTAAACCCATTACAGCATGAAAATGGGAAAGGCACAGCTAGCAAAGTGACTGTACGGAAACAAATTGATTTTGCAGGTATTTTGTAACAGAGAAAGCCCTAATTAAGCCATCTCTTGAGGAAGAAGTCATCCTTTGACTTCCAGGTGGACCAGCTCACTGGCTCTAAAATCAATTGGTTTCAAAGGCAATTATGGCCTGAACAGCCCATCCTTGGCCCAGATTTGGTCCAGCTGGGTCAGTTCCAGTTGCTTTGTTACCAGCATGACATGGAGATGTTGGGTTGTGTAGGTGAGCAACAAATGCCAGAGAAGTAAGAAAATGAAAGTTTCCTCCTGTTTGGTCATAGCTCAGATTAATTCCGAAATTAACATTTGAGACATGTTGTGTATAAGCAGTAGGAAATACTGCTATTAGATTCTGGCTGAGAAGATGTTCCAAAAAGGTGAGCATGGGTCAGCATAAATCTCCCTGGAAACTACATCAAGTGAGCTGCATCTTATCATCTTTTATGACCTTTTCTACTGATGAGATCACACGAACAGAACAGTAACGTACAAAGGATCAATAGATGAGACAAATGCAAGTAAGATCTACTACAGACTCCAAACAGGTCAATTCCAGTGATCAGTCATGTAACAGCCTTTTATAAATGCAGCATACAAAAGGAACTAAGCGGCTCCTAACCCCCGTGCTGCTGCCGCCTATTAACAGAGCACACTGTGAAGGCAGCAGTCTAGCGAAACAAAGTTCAATTCCCAATTGAAATTCTCACTCTTGCAGAAACAGAAGGGCTGTTTTACTCTTTTCTGCACTTCAAAGCCAGACATCAACAGTGCAAGCAAGAAGAAAGGATGTTGTGTCCCGCCAGGGGCTGACAGGCAGCAGCGTCACGGAGAGCAGCGACGCGGTGATGAGCAGCACAGAAATGCTGGGAATCCATCAGCGCGGCGACCTCGGCCTGCTGCTGATCGTTAATGCTGGGAGAAGGCACTTTAGCAAGGGAAAGTCTGAGGCTGCTGCTAGCATAGTGTATATTATCCATACAACACTGCTCAACGCTGTAAGCTTTTGTTTTCTGTATACCGTTAAGTTGTCCGATGCATAACAAGTGCACTGCACAGCATAAATCCTATAAACCAAAGCCATGCAGAGTTTTATTCAGTGGCAGCTCAGTTATTTTTACAACCTGCATCTTTCCCATTCCTTCGATTTTGGTTTCTCCCAGGCTTCAGCTCTCTGCAGCTCGGTGCCAAGCAGCTGCCCAGGCTGCGTGGTTCTCACTTCAGCTACAAAAGGAGACAACCTGCTAGCAACCTCCCTATGTCTGTTAATAACCACAGCAAGGTCTAAATTCCCTGCTTCCAAGTCTGTAATTGCACAATAAATACTTGCTTAATAAAGCTGACTTTTGTTTTGTAAAGTGCCTGTTGGTTATTCGTAGAAATGTGATGTGGAAATGGTCTATTAAGTCCCTTCTGAAGCATCCCCTGAGCAGCTGCAGAACTGCTCGCTCTGATATTTTTCTGGCAAAGTGTTACACAGTAAATAAGAAGATTGTGGCAGAAAGTCAAAGAAGACATTCAACATCACACGTTTTGAGTATGAGATTGCATTTCTCCTAGTTGCAGAAATAGAGGTTTGCTACGTAGGTACGACGGTGATAAAATTCTCCATTTCTGTGATCTGAATCTTTGATGAAAAATCTAGGAGGGAAGGACAGCAGCCACGGCAAGTTCTAAGCATGAACTGCATTGCCCCACATAATGGGTTTTGTCTGAATAGCAAATCCAGCTACAAAAGCTTGAATCTGGAAATAACAATGTGGGGGATGTGCATATTTGTAGCTGAAGTTCTGTGTCTGTCCTTCTCCTCCATGCCCAGGTAGCTTCAAGTATACCAACCAGCACGAACCTACCGAGGGGTTCACCCCTTTGGCTCGGTGCAGCTCCTTTCCAAAAGGACAGAAATCCCATTTGCTAAATATACAGACATTAGGAAAGTGAGAAATCCTGCCAGAAAAATGGGAATCAACACAGCAGTTGGTGTCTGCAGCAGGAAGGTGCAGCCTCACTCAGGAGCAGCTCTCATAGTAGGTGACTCGCTTATGGATGGCGTCCCGGATCCTGCCCACCTGCTCCTGAAGGCCTGACAGCCTGGCTGACTTGGCCACAAGAGCTCTGTTGCTTTCTTGAATTTCTGTCTCCAAAGCTGAGGAGAGAGGGCAGGGAAGGTTTTGTGAGATCATAACTGGAGGAAGGCATTGTGTGCAGCCTGCCTTCCTGGACTGAACCCCTCCTCCCTCCTGCACCCCTCTCTTCTGCCCTAAAAATCCCAACCTCTCTGGCACCCAAAAGTCCCAGTTCACCTGCCCATCACCCCGAGCTCAGAGGCTTACTTTCCATACGGAGCATCATGTTCCACGTTTCCTCAAAGAGAGCTTTTGCCTCCAGATCTATGCTCTGCACACGGCTGCCCTGTGCTCCCAGCGCAGGGCTCTGCCCCTCTCTGCTCTTCAGCTCTGCATACATATCTTTCACTCGTTGGAAAGCCTGGGGAAAAGTAAATTAAGCAGCAGCACATGTAGGACTGAGCAAATAAACTGGTGAAGATTTACCAATGTTGAACCCATTTTAAATACTAAAGAGATACTGTGCTAGAGCTCTGCAATCACGTTAATATGCAGATGCACAGCGTGCTCACAAAGATGCTGACTGGCATCTGCACGGGCTGCTCTGCCTCAGGTGGGGCAGAGAGCAGAAACAGGTCTTGAGCCAAAGGCATTAAGATTGAGAAAGCCAGAGGGAGCACGGTGCAAGGCCAAATACCTGCTGAGCCCCGTTGGCCTCCTCGCTTGCTGCTGCTGCTGCCTGCTGCGCATCGCCGGCCCGCAGCCGGTTCTGCCCTGCTGTCTGCTGCAGCCCAGGGAGCCTCTCTGCCAGCACAGCCAGCTGGGCTGCCACCGAGCCCACGTTCTTCTCAGCTGGACCAAGCACTGCCTCGATCTACAAGCAGAATGCTCCATGTTAAGAGGGAAATTGCAAACAAAACCTTTTTCTTCTGTGCAGTGAAGGCCCACGGATTTCCTCCTTGCAGGCCTGGAGCTCAGAGAAGCAGACAAGTGAGACCCAAAAGGGAATAGGGTGTTGGTTTTTTTTGCACAAAATATCTCACCCACTTTGCTGGTACAGGGCTGTACCCCACTGCAAAGCAGCAAAGCAGCAGAGAGCAGGAAGCAGTGCTGTTATTTGGGAAGTCACTGAGCATCACTTACTTCCTCAACGCGCTCCTGAATGAACCGAAGGGAAGAACCTGAGCCCCTGATAGCCCCCTGAGCCTCCAGCAGCACTGTGTTTGCCTGTCTCAGATTCCCAACAACTTCTTCCACATTGCCTTCCACAGCATTCGCCCGGTTCCTGGAGAAACACAAGAAACAGCCAGAGTGAGTGTGGAGAATTGCATGGACTGGATATCAGGACTGCAGGGGCAAAATAAGCAAGCTGGGGAAGCAAGACAATACTGTAATGGAGAAGGCTGTGATCACCCCACACACATCCAGACACAGTATAGAATAGCCATAGAGCAGATTTCCATTCAAGAGAAGTGTTACTTCCATTTCACATCCCCAAACAGAGGAAATGAACTGAGAAGGGGAGAGATGTAGAAACAACTGCTTTGCAAGGGTGCAGGAAAAAGAATTAAAGGGAAATTAAAGGGAACCAACTTCACTGCATACTATCTGCTTTCCATTGGGACTATTTAGACTGGAGGACAGAGCTCCCCATAGTGTCATGGTTTTTCATTGGTATTCCACATCATAACAGAAGCCAGACTGCTTTGTCTCATCGATTCCAGCGGGCTAAGCAGGTGTCAGACACTATAAAGGAGTTTACATACTTATCCCACTCACCTTCTCACCGGGATATTGCTGAAAGTCAACACATGACAAAGCAGATGCTCCAAATTTGCAAGGGCTCTGTGTAATTGCTTTTGAAGGGGCCATGGGATAATCCTCCCAACTTTCACCCAGAAAACAAATAGCCCATTTAATCCCCTCGTGCTCTCTTGTGTGATCAGAATGTGGGTCACCAATATCAATAACAGAGCCACCCCATCATCTCCCCTTATATGGTCTTGAGAAATGGAGAGAATTCCCTATTACTTTTGGTATAGAGTTTCTTGCTCTAGGATCCATAACAAGATCTATTCTTGGCAGCCAGATCCTTATTTGAATCAAAGTATCAGAGAAACCTCTGTAGAGACTGCAAATACATCCTTTTAGCCACCATGCATACACAGAAGCACAGTCAGATTTCACTCCAGCTAAGCATCAGCACATTCCCTCTGGCTCAGTGACCCTCAGCTGCCGAAAGCCTTCAGCCAAGCTGACCTGGCCTGTTCTGCCTCCTGCTGCAGCTGCTTGGCCTTTGCAATGTCCTCGGCTGTCTGGGCAAGTATGTTCTCTGGGCATTGCAGCTTGGTAGCCAAACTTTGAATCTCATTCATTTTCCTCAGGACTGCAGCAGCATCCGTGGGGAGACGTAGAGAGAGAACAAACTCGCTGACTTCCTGGATTGTTGCAGGGTCCGTGTCTTTGTCTGCATGCAAACAGAGGAACAACGTCAGACAGAAGAGAGGTGAGAGGCAGGAAGGTGAAGGCAGATGTCCAGCATGATCTTACACGTCATCTCTTCCTTTCAGACAGCTGCCAGAATCTACTCTAGTTTAATCAACAAGCTCAAGTTGCCGTCCTTAAAAGGCAGGCTCAGTATGAACATGATCTGCCCCATCCTGATGAAAATGGAGCACCAAATGGAAAGCACAGAGGGACTGAGGCACTATTGCGCCCCACGTTCCTGCAGAGCACAGGCAGGGCTTGCACCACTGAGTAGATAAGGCTGTGTTTCAACACAAGCCCTTTTTATTGCACAAATAAAAGTTAATAAATCTGAGGAATCGGAATCAGGCAGAGCCCAAGGGACATTAGCCCAGTGATTAGCTCAGAAATATCTTCCCTCATCATTAACACCAGGCAGCACCAAGTGACCTGATTTTCTTATTCAGCTAATGCTCGTGAGGCTTATTATGTTATTACAATCTGTCTGTGAACAGTAAGTCATCCCACTGGTTTATAGGACAATGAGGAATTCTCTCACGATTAGCAGCCTGTTCCAGAGAGACGTCCATTTATCTCCTGTCCATAAGGTCACTGCTAAACTCTTCTACACTGTGGTCAGTGCTGACTGCAAACCTCTGGGGAGCATCTGTCGTGGTTATGGCTTGCCCTTGGACCTGAGGACAATGAGAGACTCCCAGAGAGGTCTGGATAAACCAGGTAGCTGAGAGTCTAGCCGGGGTGAGCTGCTCAGTGACTCCTTTGTACACTATTCTCATACATAATATCACTGTAAAAATTGGGTTTTCCATGCAGAAGCCAACCTGCACACACACACACACACACACACACACACACACACACACTGTGAGCTTGCACACTGCTACCTGACAAGAAGTTCCGAACTTGCTGGATGAACTGCTGGGCATGCCGGACATCTCCATCAATCTGGGTTCTTGTTATGCTCATCTGTTCCATCAGCCGCAAGGCATTGCTTTGAATCTGATTAGCAGATGCCTCCGTTGTTTTAATCTGCAAAAACCAAAATCCTGATGGAGTCATTCCTACTTGACCTGGAATCCCAACAGCCCTCCCTAAACCCTCAGTGAATTGAGCAGGTCACTTTGAAATTACACTATTTCCATTTCTAACATGCCATCGTTTTCAAGGAGCATAAATGTTAAAGTCTGAGGGCTGGATTTGCAAAGAAAGCTCCCAGAAGAGGCAGTACCATTTAGCTTTTGCAAACCCATTTGAAATGGATTCTGAATGACTTTGAAACCTTGCTCAATCTGCACAAGCCCTTGGAGGCTGTAGAAAAGAGGTGCAGCAGCACGAACACGAGCACTGCGGGCTGCATCAAACGTCAGGGCATCCCTGCAGATTCTGAGGTATTTCCACATCCCTCACCCTTCTGTCATCCCAGTGCTAATCCCAACACCATGAGGAGGCCAAGTTCCAGCTTGTTAGTGACATTCCCACTGGAAATACGAGAGCAGCTTTCTGCCCCTTGTGCCGAGGCCGAGACACTGCGCAGACAACTGAACCTCAGACCAAGCTCCAGGCTGGGTGTTTTATGGTGGGCTGCCCCTCCATGCCCACCCCTCAGACCTGCTGGCACTCACCAGCTGTGCTGTCTCCTTTAGCCGTGCACTCAGGCTGTCCAGCTCCCCTGCAGCTTTCCCAGCCACACGCAGGGCCCCACCGGCTAATGGCCTGGCACCACGGCAGCTGAGGCCATCCCCGCAGGCCATGCCACCATCTTGTGGGCACAGCAAGCCTTCACACTGCGCTGGGGTGCACATCTCTGTTCGGAAACCACCACAGATCTGGAGAAGAAAAGAGAAGCAGGGTGGTGAGGCCCGCACTTGGCTTTGATGCCTTCTGAAGTCAAGCTGGAGTCTCACAGGGACCTCCGTTTTGAAGGAGGCGCCATTTTGGCAGAGGCCGCCATTTTGGCAAGGGCCGCCATTCTGACAGCGGCCATCATTTTGACAGGGGCTGCCATTCTGACAGGCTCTCTCCAAGAGGCTGAGGAACACTGTGTGCTGTGCAGCAGGAGCTCCTCTTGGGGACACCCTCAGAGGCAGCCCAAGCAATGGCAGTGACTGGAGCATGTCTGCTTGGATGCTAGCGGCATGCTGGCACATGGAGCAACCACTTCATTGACCCTCAGAACAGCAGCTCTTCCCTCGTAGAGAAACCCTGCTCAACCTCTGTAATTTGAGTTCAGACAGTAGGATGAGGAGGTCTGAGCAGTGTGTTTGATTGCCTGGCACCTTCTCATGTTGCTACCCAACAGAGAAGGCACTGCTGCAGGGCACGGGCAGGTGCACAGCCAGTGCAAGCACCAGCCCCCGAGTGCTCAGGAACACGATGGTGCCCTGCAAAGCAGAGGGGAGGCTGGTGGTCTCCACAGCAACCATGCATTAGGAGGCACTGAAATGGATCTCCATGGCAATAACAAAGCAGTGAAGGAGAAAGAAAAGGAACCTCATCCAGAAATTAAGTGGGTCTGTGAGACAGGAGAACTGACACGTGAGAGAGTCCTTGGAGGAAAGATGCGCATGGCTGGGAGGGGGTGGAAGGAGAGCTTGGGTGTCTGCTGTCTGCAGCAAGGTTCTGCTCTGATGTCCACAAGCAGAGCTTTGCCATTCAGGGCAAGTCTCTCTGAACAAAGTCTTCACCAAATCATTGAGATTGGAAAAGACCACTAAGATCCTCTAGTCTAACCATCAACCCATCACCCCCGTGCCCACTTCGTCGTGCCACAATGGGCAATTTGAGCAAAGACATGCGACCACTGGGTAAGACCTCTGCCCCTCAAGCTACACAAGGCCCCATTGACAACTATACAAGCACAGAGAACCCCTTTCTATTTTCACCTTATTCACGGTAGGAGTCAGATTGGGAGATGAGGCCATCTGGGATCTGAGGGCCAGCAACTTGCTGCTGTGCGTGGCAACTGCTGCCTCCAGCCCTGCTGCATCCCTGCGGCTCTCCCTGGACGTGGCCAGCAGAGTGGCAGCAGCAGCAGCAAGGCTGCTGGCGTTGGTGGATGTCTGGTGAGCAGATCGGATGGTCCCAAAGGCTCCTGCAGGAATAAAGGCGGTGAATGACACAAATGCCTCAGTGAGTCATAAATGCAGCAGAGCTACCGAAAGGAAGGCACTGACTATACCCTGTGAGTGGATGTGTGCATGGAGAGGAGGGGGACACAGCTAGAGTGATTAGTCATGAAGGCACAAATAAAAAGCTCCTTTTATTTCCAAACACCTTTCAGCCATTCCTGTACATAGAGCTGCAGAGCTTTGCTGAAGGACTGACCTCATGTTTAGGACTCTAAGACTGAAACAAAACTAAAGCAAAAGCCATGCGTGTGCTGATGCAGGGCTGTGCTACAGCTCTCTCCCAGCCTTTCACACCGCCAGAGCAGAGCCCCACACTCTACAGTAACACAGGGGAGGCAGCAGAAGATGGCACTTGGACAGCATTAGCTGCTGCAAGGATTTAATGGCAACCTACCACCAGCAGCATCACAGGGCGTAATTAGATCTTCTGAGCACCTGACAGCTAGCTGCTGATTCTCCTCCACCCCTCCATCCCTTCCATCTGCACACAGCCATTACTCCTGCAGCCGCCCCCAGCTTGATGACGCCTCCTGCCTGGGCTCAGCCCTATCCGTGCTGAGCTGTGGTGTTGGGGTGCTTTGGCACACAGTGCTGTGCTGGTGGGAGGGACATGGGGCTGCATACTGAGCTGCCCAGCCCCAACAACCATGGGAAACAGCCCCAGATTGGTCAGAGATGAGGCAGAGCAGAAAGCATCTCTCACGCAGGAGGGAGAGAGGATGTTTGCTGTTCCTAAGCTGACAGACCGAAAACTTCTCCATCTCCTCCACACAGCCACTAGGAAATCATCAGCTACATAGTCCTATTGAGGTTAACTGTCAGCCTCAAATGAAGAGTTTAGAGTGGTAGTGCTGTACCTGACAGATCTGTGCTGCGGCTGGTTTCAAACTGGGTCTTCTTGCTCTGATACTGGGCACTGATGGTAAGCAGGCTGCTATTGAGAGCTTCAAAGTCATTTGATAGAGAGGAAGTCACATCCAGAAACTGAAAGTTGGGATTAACGCCTTGCATTTGCTCCCTGAAAAAAAGAAAACACAAAAAACGTGAACTTGAGCAGAGAGAAAAGTGCATGTAGGCAGAGAGCAGGACTCTCACTACAGGTGCACCAGGTGGGACTGCAGGGCAGTTCAACATTTCGAGTTACAGAAGCAAAGCAGTGCATCCCTCACCTGATGGCAGTGAGTGCATCGCCCAGCTGGGCCAGGCCCTGCTCGGTGGCAGATGAGTGACCAAGGATGCCCTGTGCCTGCTGCACGCTGCTCTGTGCCCGTGAGAGCCGGAGGCCCAGGTGGGAACCCCCAGGCAGCGCCATGCTGGAGTTACTCAGGCTGGCCTGCTGCAGGCGCAACCGCAGCCGCTGGATGTCACCATCATAGGTGTGGAAGCAGGGGTGGCAGGGCTCACAGCTGGGGTAGGTGCTGCAGTGGTCCCGTTGGCACTGGTCACAGCGGGGACCGGTGACACCTGGGCGGCAGAGGCAGCGGCCTGTGGATTTGTCACACCCCACGTCCTCGGTGCCCTGGAAGTCACAGTTGCACTCTGGGGAACGGAAAGGGGAGAGAAAAGGTGTGAGGCCCATTGAAAGGAGAAAATAACAACAGATCAGATCCTGCTAGCTGGATGGCAATGCAATGCGCAGTGGGACCCACCCTGGTAGCTCCACAGTGCCAAGGACAGAGGTGAAACAGCGTGGAGAATGCTGATGTCAGAACATGGACCAAGTGCTGTTTTTCTAGAACAGTGGTGATTTCACAGTGCTAAGAAACGCTGTGCCAAAAGTGAACGTGATGCACCCTACCTGTGCATCCTACCCTGATGTCTCCAAAGTGCCTATCTGGGCAGGCCTGCTCCTGCTGTGCAGCAGAGCACGTCCGCCCCGTGAAGCCTTCTCTGCACTGGCACTGTCCTGTGAACTGAGAAAGGAAAAGGACGTCAGGGAGGAGACTCAGCACTGCTTATGCTCCTGGAAAAGCCCTCCCTGGTGAGTGCTGAGCTGCTCCCCAGCCTTTCTGTCACCTGTCAGCTTCATCTCCTACCTGGGGGCAGGAAAACCATAAAAGGAGTTCCCAGCCTGGGAGAGAGATGAAGCAGAGCAGAGGAAAGCGGCACCTGAAGTAAAAGCAGCAATTATACTCCGCAATGCTTCTTAACAGATGCAGGGGCACAGCAGGGAGCACAGCTCCCCAGTGCTGTGGAGGTGAAATGGAAATAAGGCGTTTTGTCACCAGCCTGCTGTCAGTCTTCTCTACACAGCCCATGTCCTTGGATGTGGGTGCAGCGATGCCAACAGCAAAGCTGTGGGGCCAGGTCTGCAAACAGCCTTGACTCATGAGCACTGCAAAGCTTTAGGTTTTGTTTCCAAGACAAAGGAATCGCCCACAAGAAACCAGTTTTTGAGCTCAGGTCTCCTCCCTGTGTTGTTTAGAACCTATCTTTGGCTCTCTGTTTCTGTAACGGCATTTTTACATTTAGCTATAATTTTCCCAGTTATCTGTTAAGGCTGAAGTGACACACATGCTTTCCGTTGACAAATGAGGATAATTAACTTGCCGTGCCTGCTTGAAGATCTCTTATTAGGATTTCCTTGCTAAATAAATATCAAGCCTTTTAGTGCGGCTTAATCTTGCCTCCGTAATTATCACCTCCTTTTATTTTCCTGTGTAGTCTGTCATAGTGCTTCTAGGAAAACAAGAACAGATTGCAGTAGGAAGTGCACTGCCCATTTGTAGAAGCTCTCAAAATTGGAACAGGTGCTTTCAATGCTCTGAGCAGTCCCAGGCTGCAGTGCTGTCCAGCAGGACAGCTTCCATTGGCAGTGATACCCCCAGCTGCACTGAAGCAGGCAGAGAAAACAATAACAGATATTGCTGGAATGGTTTCCAAAGGGAGCACCATGGCCTACATAGCTAGTGACCACCAAAGGATGCTCAGAGCACTACCTGGTTGCAGTGGGTGCTGTGGGAACCACTGGGGTTGCACTCACAGGGCCGGCAGCCCCGGCCGCTCGCCATGTCCCAGTGCCCAGCTGCACACTGGTCACAGTCGGTGCCCACCACGTTGGGCAGGCAGGAGCAGCTCCCCGTCTCATCATCGCAGGGCACATTCTGCCGCGTTCCCAGGACGTTGCAAGCGCATCCTGAAACAGAGAAAGGTTCTTTGGATTAAGATTGGGTGCTGAGCAGCAGCCTGGCTTCTCGCAAAGCTGGGAGGCTGCTGCCTGAGACATGCTCTCCCACTCCTCCCTTTGCAAAAGAGCTTGGCACAAAGGTCCATCCCTGCTCTTGTACTTGCTGCCTGCTCAAGCCTAGCAGCCAGACTCAGCAGCCCCAGAGACCTCTGTTCCCAGCACAGACAGCGTCCACCCCAAGCTTTGGCTGCCCTCTGCTGCACACAGCCTGTCTTGCCTGTGCTGCATTGCCTGCAGCACCCCCTGCAGCTGCCTGCATCAGGAACAGGGCACAGCCCTATGCATGCCTTGAACCCTGTTCTCCCTATCCCTGTGGCCAAACACATCCCTGAAACAGGCCACAGCCTAAGCAAGGAGCTTTATAACGTTTTGCAAAACGCAGCTACATCTCAGAAATCCCAAACCCAAGCTGGCTGGGAAGCACAATCCTTGCAGGAGATGCTGAGGGCAGAGGTGCAGGGGCTGTCTCACAGCATACTCACTGCGGCAGCCCAGGGGGTTGGCATGGGCCAGCTGGGCAAAGCCTGGCTTGCAGAGGTGGCATCGTTCTCCCTGCACATTCTCCTTACAGATGCAGTGTCCCGAGAGCGGGTCGCAGACGGAGCCTGGCACCGTGCCGTCTGGGTCACACTCGCAGGCTGGAAAGGTGTGAGAAGTGGCATTGCTGAGCTGCCTTCAGAACAACTGAGGAGTATGAAGGGGAGATCACTGGGCACTCACGCTGGCAGGCTTCAGGATGGGTGAGATCCTGCCGCTGGTTGCGGAAATAGTTGGTTTTGCAGCGCTCACAGTTGTTTCCCTCCGTGTTGTGCTGGCAGTCATCGCAGACACCTCCGCTCACCCCACCGCTGGCGTGGAAAAGCTCCGGGTCGAAGTGGCAGGAGGCCGAGTGGCCGTTGCAGTTACACTCTAAAAAAAAGCCCAAACAGCCCATCTGGTGCTGCAAGTGTGCAAGCCCTCCAGCAGCACAGGACACGCTGTCACTAGAGGGTGCCCTAGTCCCCTGCATGGCACCTCTGCACGCAGTAACAGTCCCAGTACGGAGCTGAGGCATACTGGGCAAAGCAGAGCGGTGCCAGGGCATCCGTGATATTGCCTGGCTGCAGCCTCGGCGGAGCAGAATGCTTTGGGAAGCCGTTCTATAGAGACAGCTCATACTCAGGAGGAGGAGGAAGAGGGGAAGGCTGTCACCGTACGCTGGCACTCATGGGGGTCGTTGTCCTCCGCGGGGGCCCAAGGGCGGTCATTGTAGAGGGCAGCACAGTGGCCACAGTTGGGGCCAGCAGTATTGTGCTGGCATTCGCAGCGCCCATGCACCTACAGCGGAGAGCAATTACTCTGTGAGAGCTCAGAGCTCAGCCCCTGCAGCCACCAAGCTCCCAAACTCCTCACAAAGCCTCTCTGCCTCCCTCCCCACACAGGACATGAGTTAATGGCCTTCATTCTCATGGCCACCTTCTCACGGCTGCAGGCAAAATGGGCACTGCTCCCCCCAGTTGCATGCAGCATTGTCCCCAGGCTGTTCTCTACATCACGAAGCTCACCATGGCATGGAGGTCCCTCGAAGGGATACAGCGGTCAGCGTGGCCATTGCAGAAGCAGCTTCCCAGCACCTGCATTTCAGTCACCGCATAGAAGCTGCTGGGCGAGCGGTAGCTGTGGTGCATGACGTGTGGGAGCTGGGTGAAGTTGATCCTCAGGTTGGTGAACTGCCCCAGCCCTGTTGGGGACAGACATTGTGAGAGGACAGCAGCATCAAGGTGCCATCTGCAGAGATGCCTCGCGCTGTGCACAGCGGGCTCAGAGAGAGCAGCACCAGCACCCCGAGCAGATGAACCATCAGCAAAGGCCTAAGGCTGCTCCTTGGCACTCTAGAGGCAGCCATTGGGCACACAGCGGCTTAAGGCTTTGCTTGAAGAAGAGCTGTTCCAGCCCTGCATCCTCCATCACCCCTTGGAAAACCACAGGCTGTGTCTTCCCTCCCTTTCTCAGACATAACAGAGGCTGTTCACTTACTATTAACAGACTGGCTGTAAGAGGTAGTAATGGTAGATGCCAGGTCTTGGACACTGAATTTCACCTTAGAAGGAATTAAAAAAATTAATTAAAAAGCAGAAAAAGCAGAGTGCTGTCTTCTCAAACTCTGAGGGTAAGGGTGTGCTCCAGACCCCAGCCACCACTTAAGGCAGAAAAAAGGCTTCAGAGATGCAGAGGGTTTTGCAGAAAGATAACCTAATCCACAGAGGAGTGAGGGCTTTCCCTTAGGAGCAACAGGAATCCTCCAGAGCCCCCCACTGGATGCGTACAGCATCACTGTATACAACATTGGTAAAAGTTTTTTGGGCTACCGTGTGTTTCTGGGACACCACACAAGCCACCCACCCCAAATCCATGGTCACACTATGGGGCACAGGCACGTGGCTGGAAACCTTTCCATAACCCACCCAAGTGCCCCAGATCTCACCTTGCCCCCGTGCACAGGGTACCCATGCTGGGCCTGCAGAGGCTGGCATCGAGCATCCCCCCAGCTCTCTGGGGCACCACGGGGGATGTGGGGAAAGGCAGCAGCACAGTCAGAGGCCAGGTACTGGTACACCTCCCATGTGTTGCCAAAGTCCATGGAGCGCTCAATCAGCATCGCGGCGGGCAGCGGTGACTGTAACATCAGGGAGAGAGGGACATCTGCAAGGTGGTGCTGTGAACTGGTTTCCACCCAGGGCTGGGGAGATCTTCATCCTCATCATCATACTCCTCTCCTTCCCTCCAAAACCTTGTGTCCTGTGGGCCTCCATCAACTTTTGAACCACCGGGAACCAGCAATGCCCACCCATCACCACCCACGACTCCCCGTGAGAAGCACTACTGCATACTGACCCTGAAATCCAGCACGATGCTGCTGAGCTGGAACTTCTCATCCAGATCCAGCTGCAAATAAACGTGCTCCATGCCTGTGGGCACAGAGAGATGGCCTCAGAGATGCAGGACTTCAGGAAAACACACCATTTGGCTGCCAAGCCATCTATTCCCCTCTTTCCCTGAATCCACTGAACCCAGCCCTGTTGGGGACCAGCACTCACCACTCTGGGATTGCCACCAGCGTGCGCGCCCAGCAGAGGACAGCATGTTGGCCACACGGTGCCCATTGCGGGCGTGAGGCAGCCGGGAGTCACACTTACAGCATCTCATGTTCCACTGCAAGGAGAGAAGGTGAGTGGGAGGTGGGTGGGATAGAGCACAGCCCTGGTGCAGACCCCACCAGCACTGGACAAAGAGCCAACACACTGGGGACATCACTGAAGAGCACACGGCATCAATGGAGCTGAGTTATTGGAGACCTGGAGAACTGCCATCATGCGCCAAGTGGTACCCAGGACCAGAGTGGTTACCCTCATGTAAAAAGAGAAAACTTATGAATGAAAGGGTTAAAAACTAAAACCGAAAATTGTTTTGACCGAAATATATTTCGAGCAAACCATCAAAAAATACTTCAAAAAAGAAAAAAAAAATTTGTTCTCCAAAACTGCAAATCCCAAAATAAAGCTCTGGGCAGCTTTTCAGCACCAATTTGCCCCATGCCGATGGCCGAGCAGCTATTTGCTTGGGTGAGCACAAGGGTCTTCCTCTCACATCCCAAACCCTGTGCGGGATTCAGCCACCTCTGCACTCTCCCCTCCAAGAGCAGTGGCAGCAAACAGCTCAGCGGGTGAAAAGTCAGTAGGTGGGAAGTCAGGTGACTCAGAGTTCAGCCCTTTACTTAAGCAACTCATTCAAGCAGCAAACAGAGACGTGGCATGGGCAACGGGGAAATCAGGATCCCCGGGGAGCAAACAAACACCCTGCTTTTGACCAACCAAGCAACGCGCCGTGCTGGTGCTTCTGAACGGCTGCCGGGTACGTGGAGCACATGGGTGGGCTCAGAAACATTTGGAAAGAGACAGAGAGGGATTGAGCAAGAGGCAGGGAGTGGGAAGGTATGGCCAAGGGGGGAGGTGGCATGGAGAAGCAGATGGGCATCACCAAATCGGGGGGTCCTGCAGGTGGAGCTGAGGTGGTTGAATGGGAAGGCTGCAAACAGCTACTGTGGATGAAACCCAAACACAGACCCTGCCTGGTGGTCCTAGCTGCACCCCAAGGCAGGAGCTGGCTCTGAGCAGGAGGCACTTTTTGGCCTGGAAGCCTCTGAGCACTGTGCTGGATATAGAGAAGAGATCCTCAGCTTAAACCACTCTGTTTCCACAATATTTTCCACTCTTTATGTTCTCTGTCTATAAATACCCCAGAACAGGACTTGGCTAACTACAGCATTTATAACAATATTGCAGAGTAAGCAAACACAGACCTGCCACTGCATGATGGTGCAAGTTCCCTGGCTCCACCACCTCCTCCCAGCACTGCCAATAGGAACCAGCAGCACCGTTCTCTGACCCAGAAGCACCATTCCCTGACCCAGGCAGAGGAACTCGCTGCAGATAATGACTGCTAGCAGCAAAACAGCAGGAAAGCTAGAGCAATTATCCACAGAAATAACCTAGCAAACAACTGCTAATAATGATTAAACTTCCCAGCAGTTGTGACTCTGATTAGAACAGGGGAGGATGCATTTCTGCAAGGGAAAAGGTTAATGTCAGCTAAATTATTCATTAGGAATTACTCATGCATGCTTACTGAGACCATTCACACAGCCACAGACGTGAGCACATCCCACAGCTACAACCAGTGTTGGCTGCAGTCGCACTCAGAACACGGAGCTGAGCAAAGAGGCAGCTCACAGCCACCACGTCTGGGGGCTGTGCAGCAATCTTTACCAATTCACAGCTTCCTAGCTTTATCCCCCAGAGCAGCCTCGGACCTGAGTGTGGAAAGTTGAGGTTTTTTTTCCCCTCTCCCATCCTCCACCTTTATTAAGGCCAAAATTAATGCTGGAAAGCCAAAATTATTTCATGCACTTTGAGCAAATTGTGAAATTCCTCTATTGCACAACATGAGAATTCGCTATTACTGACTGTGCATGTGTCTCAAAGTTCCCTGGGGCAGAGGGAATTACCAAAAATGACGGCCCAGCTCTGGTCTGAAGGAAGGTTTCCTAGGAGCACACCTTTCCCCAATTCTCCCCTGCATATTTACCAGCACAGAAACAGCTTCAGTGGATTCATCAGAGCCAGCATTGCCAGGAATAGAGCAGGGCCGTGAAAGTATGTGACAAAATGGAAGTCAATAGGTCACAGTTTCTAAACTCGGGCCCTCTCCATCTCTACCCCAGCAGCAAAGGCTCCCGGCTGTGTGGCAAATCAGAAGCACCAAGAGCCACAGTGAGTCCTGGTAGCTAGCAGATGGGTCTGCTTAGAAGTTCACATTGACTTCAGTGCTGCCCTTGGAGCAAGCCAAAATTCAGGTCATGGAGATCTTGGGAACAAATGAAATCTGGTCGAATCTTTAGAAAGGTAACTCATGAGGGGGTCATTTGAGAGGAAAAGCAAGCATGCTGAGAATAGACAGACTCTTGTTTTACAAGTAAGTGGTTGGAGAAAAAATAATCTATGCAGAACAAACAGCTGTTGTGAAGATGAGCATATACGACATAGAAAAGCAGAGCATGTGTGGATGGGCTGCATGAGTGGAAACATGCATGCACCTATGAGTGATGGACAGCTGCAAAGACCAAAAGACACTCTTGGGACACTTTGCAGAGTTTGGGGATGCCCAGACCCATCCCTGTGCCCTGCTGCCACTCTGCCTCGTGCTGCTCTCTGCTCTCACCCCGTGCATGGGGGGTGCCTGGCACTGGCTTTCCTTCCTCATTTCCCATGTAGGGAATTCCCATTCTCACATGTAGGGGCAGAAAACTTCAAATGACCTGAAGCTGATGGCCTCTGACCAAAGTATGCTAAGTAGCTATAGCTGCCATTTTCATATGAGTAAAGAGCCCTTAAAATAAAACCTGGCTGAGGTGCATCACTCAAAATAAACTGAAGCGACTCATTCAGCACATATGAGAAGCCAGTGCTCTCCGGTCATGAAATAGAGACCTTTAGGAACTCCAGGACCTTGGTGGTCCAGTGCCAACACAGCTCTGTGAGTCAGAGCTCTGCCAGTCAGCTCCAGGCATGCGGCAGCCTCGTGTCTCCTGTGCAATTAATATCCTATTGCGATAGGAATCACTGCCCCAGTTCTATTTGGGGAGTAGAGGGCAGGAAAAATTTATATGTATGTAGAGAGATGGAGCATTCAAAAATAGAGTTGGCAGCAAGAGTAAGTTAAATTGGGAACAAAGACACCTGTCAGAGCTCTTAGGCAATTCCCTTTTCCAGCCCCACAAATTCCCTGCTAACACCAGCACTGCGCACCAGGCCAAGCAGGGATGTGCTCCATCTGCTTTCCATAGGAATATGCTGTAGAAGGACCAATAGATGTGTCACTGCAGCTGAACCTCCTGTGAGCAAACTGCGTTCATAACATGGGACTGTACTTCAATTCTGAAGCACAGATGTGTGTCTTAGCCATAACCCCCAATGCCATTCCCATGCTGAGCCGGTCGGAAGCAACAGTGAGCTGAAAGCACAGAGCACTCTGTACTCAGACTGGTGTTGCTGGTGATCCCAAATTCAGAGGTGATTGCAGGGCCGGGACAGCAGCAGGGCAAACATCTTAGGCACGAGGGCTAAGGAAGTAAACTTCATTCGTCCTGCTTGAAAGCAAGCATGTGGGCGCCTGTTTTCCTCACCCAATCTGTCCTCACATCATTTCCCTTCAGAAAAGCTTCACTTAAAGCCTGCCACGATGACAGTCTGCAAATCTGTGCTGCACGAGCTGCTCCCCACCCCACACGTTGTAGAGGCCCTGCTGCCTCTGCAAGGGGTGACGTGATGTCTGAGAGCATACGTGGGAATTTGCACTCAGGTGGCAAAAAAAAGATACAGAGAATGGAGGAGGAGAAAAGTGGGAAACTGCCTTTTTCCTCTGTGCATTGCTGCAGGTAGAGACATATCCCTGCACCAGGAACAAGGTGTGTCTGAATGCCAGAGATGTGATAGCACAGAGCAGCACCACAGCTGCTGAATTAACTTCAGCAGGGCAGGAATTATTTGGTGCAAACCCTCAGCATTGTGAAGCATCATCAGCTCTGCTTTGAGCAGGAGGGGAGATTGAGGTTGGATGTCAGGGGGAAGTTCTTTCCTATGAGAGCAGTGAGGTGCTGGAACAGCTGCCCAGAGAGGCTGTGGACGCCCTGTGCATCCCTGGAGGTGTTCAAGGCCGGGTTGGATGGGGCCCTGGGCAGCCTGGGCTGCTATGAAATGTGGAGGTTGGTGGCCCTGCGTGTGGCAGGGGGTTGGAGCTTTGTGATCCTTGAAGTCCCTTCCAACCCTGGCCATTCTGTGATTCTGAACTTGGGGACCTCCTCAGTCCCATCTGACTACAATTCTTCCCTGCTTCTGAGGAGGCATTTTTCTGTGTAAAGGACCTGAGCTTGATTCATGATTGGGGTCTGGAAAGCAAACGAGCTGCAGGGCCCAGGAACGTTTCAGTGGGAGCTTCCCTATTCCAACACACTCAGGAATCCCAAAGGAGCAGGCTGTGTGGCTTGGACCAGCATCAAGCCAACTCACGCAGGTGGAAACAGATGTAACCATCAGACGGTAGCAGCAAGGCAGACAGAATCGTTACTCTTCAACATATTCACTTTCACAAGCATCAGCCCGTGTTTTTCGGGAGCAGCCAAAACCAACTCAGTGCTTGGGCACCATAGGGAGGGATGCCACAAGAAGGGATCTGGGTGATTCCCACCTCATACTGCTCACATCCACCAAATGCCCATGAACAGCGAATGCAAGCAGGCAGAAAACCTTACGCAAGCAACATTTAACATCCTATGTTTCCCAGGGCCAGGGTGTGAAGACCCACAGAATGGCCACGTGCCCATAGACTGCTCCCAAAAGTGGGAAACAGAGCAACAATACAAAAGGAAGGCAAATCATCTTTTCCCTATCTTGCCTATTCTTTAAACAAAAGATGTCACAGTGATTTGCAGAGCGGTTTGGGTACTACAACTGCAGTTCTGAATAGGCCCTTCAGCTGAAAGCACTGCCAGGCCCTGAGGACACAGGCATCTTCTGACATGAAGGCCAGGGCACATTGCTGCAGAGTGAGTGCCTTTATGCTGTCCTTGAAGGGGCGGCCAGGCCAGGAGCTGCTAATCCACATGAAAGCCACACCAAGCCTCCCCTTGGTTCCCCTCATTGCCTCCAAAGCGCTATGTTTAGCATCCAGACAGAAATGAGCAAGCCAGCCTTGAATCACACCTGTCTTAGTCTTTCCACGTGCATCAGTGCCTTCAGGACATCAAATTCAGGGACACCTTTTTTTTTTTTAGGTGTTTCTTTTATTTAGTTTTCTTCTTTGCCTTCCCTGCCACCTTGAACAGCCGTTTCCTGAGCTCTGAGTGATTTCCAAGCCAGGCCATTGGTCTGTTTGGTTTCCTCCCCCCTACTCTTTTCTAATCATCTCCACAGTCCCTTGTGCTATAAATGGCAATCCCGAGTCTCCAAGGGATGGAGCAATCAGTGGTGCAAAGTATAAAGGTTAGAGGGATCCGGAGCAGACAATGGAGCAGGGGATGCAATCCAGCAGCCCAGCAGGATTGCAAAAGAAGCCCCCAGGGCAGCAGGCAGACGGCTCATATCAGCCAGCTGGCACCAGGCATCAGCACCCACAGCAACCCCTCATCCCGTGCCCTCTGCTGACATTGCAAAACCCACTCCAAATTTGTACCTATTTGGCACCAACACACGAACCAGGCAACAAAAAGAGTCAGTGAATACATTTGACTATTATATGGGATGAGAATAGGAGGGGAAAAGCGAGTTTGTGAGACTCATCTTGGCTTTAATTAGGAAATGCTCAGCATAAGGATGTCTCCAAAGATAGAAGCTGGAGTATTCACAACTTGTAGCAGCCATCACAGCTGCAGAAAAGAAATGAAGGTCTCCGATTCCAGCAAAGGAAAGGCATTAAATACACAAAGCTTCTATTCTCAAAGCTAGAAGTGATGGAATCCAACTCAACATACCAATGTTAACTGTTCCAAATTCCTTTAATGTCAGTACTTATCAGCATAAGGTGCTGATTCCACTGACAAGCTCTAAGGAATACAAAACCTGGATGTTTTAGGGATCTGAAGACCAGCTGGCCACCACCACCTCTCTGCCTCCCACCAATTCCATTCCAAACAGGTATTTGTGCTCAAGGTATTTTACAGAAAAAAGCTGGCTCATTCCAGCTGGATTTCACTGCACAAAGCACATCCTCATAGAGGACTGCTGTGTCCTTTCCTCCTGAGCGCCTCATCCAAGCACCCCCCCAAGGTGCTCCTTGCCTGCCCTTCACTGAGCCCATTCCAACCTCTCCAGCACAGCCACATTTCCAGATTAACACAGAGAGGTATAAGGAAGCACTCGCATCACAGACAGCACCCCTGCCTGAGCACAGAGCTGAAAAATGCTGTGGAATGAGCCATTAGCTCTGACTTTGGATTCTGGTTACAGCTTTGGAGCCTGGGAACATGCAGCTGCAGCTGTTATCCTCTGAGCACCACTTCCTACCCCCGCACCATTTAATTGGAAACAGCCGCTTGGCTCAGCAGCTCTTCCAGCAAAAGCCTTGGAATGTTCCCATTTCTGACAATTGAAAAATGAATTTAGCTTACAGCTAAGGAGGCTGGGGACTGGATGGCTTTGGATTTTTGGTTGCAAAAGCTTCCATTCTGCCCATTGCACAGCTTGTTCCCTGCTCGTGCTCAGCTTCTCTGCTCTGATGTGGTGCAGAGGAGGACCCCAGGGCTGGAAGGGATACAAAGCATGCAGGGAGAGAGACAAACACCCAAAGTAGATCAAAAACATTGTAAAGGGTAGAAAGGATGGGTAAAGGCATCAGCATCCCTACACAGGCTTAGAGCAGAGGGAGCAGCACGTACCTCTCCGTGCGGTGTGCAGTACGTCTCAGGCTTGGTGAGGCCACAGGTGGAAGAGGCCATCAGGTGCTGACCCCGTCCCAGCAGGAGGTCCCCACTGGGGGGATAGCAGGCCCCATGGGAGCAGGCTGGCTGTGCTACCCCTGGCTGTGGGCAGGCTGCAGTGGCAGGAGAGGAGAACACAGTGACTAAGGCAGCAGGTTGGCCTGGGACAGAGCTGCACCTGGACACGCCAGAAAGGATGAGGGTTCATCCTTGAATTGCCTTTTGTTTTTAATAGCTTAAAATAGCTTTTTGTAGCTATTGCTCCTGAAACTCTTCTTGATAGGACACATCTCCAGAATCCCAACGTCTCGGTTCCAGGGATGCTCAGTTCCCTGCTCACTGTACTTAGCAACCCAGACTGGTTTCCCTCCATGTACCCACAGGCCCTGCAGGAGGTTGCTCAGCACAGAGCATCCTCTTCCCAAAGCACTATTACTGAACGCCAATTGCAGTGCTGTTAGTACAATGTTTACCTAGCAGCATTTCTTAGCCTCAAAGGGAAAACCTTCCTATCATTCCCTTCTCATCAATAAACATAATCATCCAATTACTTTTGCAAGAAATTTAGCTATCCATAAACTCACATTGCTTAAACCATGGCACACACGGAAGCTCTAGGCAATATAACTCACTGCAGTACTCATTTACAAACCCAATTAAAAGATCAAGGTAATTTCCAATAGGCAACAAACAGCTTTCCCTCCCATTTTTCCAGAAACATGGAATGTTGAGCCTTACCGAGGAGGACAAATAATGCCCACAGCCAAAGCTGGCAGCAAGACTCCATCACGCCAAGGACAAGGACACACCTAGAGAGGAATTTGCAGTGTAAGCAAAAATATCAGAAAATACCATCTTAAACCTCATCCTGAGCACTTTACATTCCTAATCTACCTAACTTTAATTGAACTAGCAGGTGAAAGTCAGGAATAATGTAGAGGGAACCCCTCAGACTGTACATCAGATGAGCACAGGGAATCGCAGCCCTTCACCAAACAGGATGCCCAGTGTCCCCCAAGCTGAGCACAAGGCAGTCCCCTTCCCAGGCACTGTCTGTGGATCTTTGTGTTGTTGCTGAGGTGAAGCACACAGGCAAGAACCGCCCCTTGCTGTCTGCAGAGCTCCAATTTCTGCCTGCCTGGCTCTGGGGACCCCAGAAAGCCACAGGCACACACACAGCATCAAGCAGTGCCTGAGGAGCCCACAGCCACCCCATGCTGCTGCTCCTCAGCCTGGCCGTGCTGCTTGCTGCCTAACGCAGCTCCAGCTGGAACATCCCAATGCCCTGAGCCTGGGCAGAGAGCACTGATAAGTGCAGCTGCTAGGGGAGCTGGGCAGCCAGCAGCACGCTCCACTCCAGGAAGTTCCCCCACTGCTGTCCTGTGTGACCGGAGCCCCATTCCCAGCCTCTGAGGTGCCCCAGGTCCCCTCCACATACCTGCCTGGTGGCGAGGGCTGTCCCCAGCAGCTGATCTCTGCAGTCACACCCGTCTCCAAGTGCTGTTGCCTTCCTGTTTGGCTTTTAACAAGCTTCTGCCTCACCTGGAAGAGAGGTGCCCGTGGGTGTAGCAGTGATAAAGGCGTGATTCAGGCACTGCAGACATCCCCACCCAGCTCCGGGGAGCTCAGCTGCTCCAGACTTTACAGTGTGACAGTGGTGTGAACAAGCAAGCCTGCAGGAAATGATCTCGGGTGCCTCAAGGCACGTCCCTACAGGGATGTCCTTACCCCAGGATGTGCCCCAGGTGTGCTTGGGGCTCAGGTGGGTGCTGCACCCAACGGCTTCGGTCTCCCTCTCCCCAGTGCCAGGCTGCACAGCCAGCAGGATGAGGCGCTCAGCCTCATGCAAAGGTTTGGTGCACCCTGCTCAGCACCCCGACCTGGGGATTTAAAGCCCAGTGAGATTCTGTGTGGGTTGTAGCCGTGCTGTATATTCACACACCAGGCATCAGCCCACAGATGACCTGGAGGAGGGATGGGGCTGTGCAGGCTGCAGCACGCATCTCTCCTGTCTCCAGCAGCGGAGCCCCTCGAGGCACAAAATAGTTCTCAACCTCATCTTACACAATCTACAAAAATACAGTACTGCAAAATAACCGGCTGTGACAAAAAAAAAAAAAGGCAAAGAAGAAAAGCACAATTCTCTTTTGGGTACCAAGAGAAGTGCCACGATTTCCAAAGAGACTCCGTATTTATCACACCAGGATGGCTTTAACGGCTCCTTGGGAGCCTGCAGGAAAGTCACCACGAGAGCAGCCCTTCTCCCCTGCCTGGGGCCTAATGCAGACCTCTGCTGTGCTTGGTGCTTCAGTGCTTTACATCAGCATGCAGCAAGGCACAGCTCCAGCACCCGCAGCACTGCTGAACTCAGAGGTGCAGATTT